AGAATAACATCAGGGCCTGTGAGGGCTTCCCTGGCTGGGGCCCACTTATCCTCACCCCTCCTGAGCCTTACGTATTTGAGGCTATAGGTGCTACTTTTGTCTCTTTGCCAGTCTCCTGAGGTGGTGGCTGTGACATCACACCCTTATCCTGTGGCTCTGAAGAACACTGTAACACTGATGTGTTGGTGATATGAGTCTAGTCACCTCTGATTTCTCATTGTTAGGAGATTCACCAGAGTCAGCATCTTTGACAATAAATACAATTCCACTGTGATAAATGCATGCTAGCAAGGGAATTGGTTGTAGTGACACAGGTATGACTCAAAGAACTGTCAGCTTCTGAGAGCCGTATTTGTATCTCCCCCATCTCCTGCAACCTTTTTATGTGTCTCACTATCTGCAGAATAGCTTCCTCTACTTCACCATGCTTGTGGCCTAGTCTTAAAGTCTGCAATTGAAGCTGCCAGCTTGATCACCATCTTTGACTCCTTCAGAGACCTTAATAGGAAAGATAAAGTGATTAGCCTGTGTTTGTAAAAACTAGGCTTCTTGTGAGTTCCCATTGCAGTTAACGGGGAAGTGGGTCCTTCCAGGAGGCTGGGTTATTTTATTTATTTACACATTTAATTTATTTACTTTATTTTTTATTTGTTATCATTTATTTATTCAGCCTGCCTCATCTAGGGAGTTTGGGATTAGACAATATACTACATGCTTTTCTGAATGATACTGATTCTGGAATTTAAAGAAGGAATTTCACACCTGGCATAGTGGTGTACACCAGTAATCCCTGTACTCAGAAGGCTGAAGCAAGAGATCCTGAGTTCAAGGCCAACCTGGGCTCCATAGTATATTCTTAAAAAGGCAGGATACTTCCACTGATGTAAGGGCAGGGTAGCCCTGGCCCAGCTGGCCTGTGTTTGGACTGGATTCTAAGCACTAGTCAAGACCAATGCTACAGTTTTCATCAGCTGATAGAATTTAGAGATTTCCTTTGCTTTCTCTTCAGAGATGGATGATAGGACCTGACAAGTAATTGTGTCTTAATGGATTTCTTCCTCTGTGACGGAGAATGGAAACTCTGAGTGAAAATTGCTAAATTACCAAATACTCACTTGTACATGTATGTACATGAATAGCTTGCTCAACCTCCAGAACCTTGCATCCAACTCAGCCTCCCCTAACAGGCTCCCCAGACTCCTAACACACCCCAAGTTTGAGAAGCTTGTCCCTAGGTTGTGGCATCTGCTGGATGGAAATCATATTCACCTCTGAAATAGGCTGTCTTGAAAGGGTTCTCGAGGGAAGCAGCAGCACTGAGCACTGTCTCTTTAGGCGGCCGACTGTCCTCCCACTGCCTCGGCCACACCCACATTTATTCTGATGCTGTGGTTCAGTCTGGGTTATCACAGGCAGACTCTTATTCTACCCAGAGCCTTTTACCTACATAACATTAAATAAGCCCAGTTTATTTGCTTACCAAATTGCTGTGTCGTTTAGTATTTTCCTCGGGAACTGACTGATTACATCATCCCCATGGTGTCATTTATTGTGTTTCTCTGTCCTAATGAGTGACCAGGATCACAGGCTTCCACCACCAGCCTGAATTTTTCCTTCCCTCCTTTCTTCCCTCCCTTCCCTCTTCTATTCATCTGTCCTTGGCTGGGTCTCACTCTGTAGCCCAGGCTGACCTAGACTTCATTGTGTAACTCATGCTGTTTCATATGTACAAATCCTTCTGCCTCTCAAGCCTTGGATTCCAGGTGTGTTTGAAGTTAGGTATTTTGATAGGAATGAATACTTCTTAGATGGCTTATAGACTTCACTAGGAGACTTAGACTCTTGTTATGTTAGCAAGTATTTGCGCCAAGTCACTTTGCAAACATCACTCATTAAAGTTTGCAAGTTATCTTTGAGTAGCCAGTAAATGCTGAGCACAAAATAGACGGACCTGAGTTTAGTTACTGACATTGAGCCAGGACTTGGTTCTCCATTAGAAGTGATTGCAACTCTTGATAACATCTTGTGGTTTAAAGTAACTTGGCGTGGACAGTGGAGTGGATATTAACAACTATCTTCATTGAGTCCTAACCTAGTGGGCTACATAGAGTAGTTGGATCTGTACTGACTACATTCTGTCCTGTGTTCCTCTGCCTGTCTTTTATAGATAGACATTTTATGTGTACTGACTACATACTGGCCTGTGTTCCTCTCCTGTCTTTTATAGATAGACATTTTATGTGTACTGACTACATACTGGCCTGTGTTCCTCTGCCTGTCTTTTACAGATAGACATTTTATGTGTACTGACTATATACTGTCCTGTGTTCCTCTGCCTGTCTTTTATAGATAGACATTTTATGTGTACTGACTACATACTGGCCTGTGTTCCTCTGCCTGTCTTTTATAGATAGACATTTTATGTGTACTGACTACATACTGGCCTGTGTTCCTCTGCCTGTCTTTTATAGATAGACATTTTATGTGTACTGACTACATACTGGCCTGTGTTCCTCTGCCTGTCTTTTACAGATAGACATTTTATGTGTACTGACTATATACTGTCCTGTGTTCCTCTGCCTGTCTTTTATAGATAGACATTTTATGTGTACTGACTACATACTGTCCTGTGTTCCTCTGCCTGTCTTTTATAGATAGACATTTTATGTGTACTGACTATATACTGTCCTATGTTCCTCTGTTTGTCTTTTATAGATAGGTGTTTCTTCCCTGAGAAGACTCGATCTCTCTTGTTTTCAACCCTTGATTTTCTTTGGAGGGAGAGGATCTCATTCTCTGACATGTCTCTTATTTTTTCCCAACTCTGTATCTGAGTTATGTATGATTCTTTGCCTAGGTGTCATTTTAACTTATTTCTTCCTATAAGGGATGTTTACCTCTGCCTTTCTGCTTGGACAACTAGTAGATATAAATCTTAAAACTTAATTTAATATGTTGACTATCACTAAAACTTACTGAAATTTTCTGTCCACTTTTATTATATATATATATATATCTTTATGTTTTATTGTTTTTTGATACAGGGTTTTTTTGTAGCCCAGGTTAACCTGGGACTCACATGGTAGTCAGTGATGACCTTAAACTCCTGCTCTTTGCCTCAACTTTCCAAATGCTATGCATACAGTTAGGGTCACCACACCTCGTCTTTAAACCATATATTGTTTTTGTATCAAAAAATAGTTTATTTATTTATGTGTGTGTGTTTGTTTTCATGTGATGGCATTAATAAGAAAGTTAGAGTACAACTTGGTGGGGTTAGTCATTTTTGCTACACATGTAGCATTGGACATTTCTCCTCTGCCTGCCTGTTCCCAAATAACTGGCAGCCGCTTCCCAAATAATTGACTTGGAGGCTTAGTCTTACTTATAAATGCTCAGCCAATAGCTCGCGCTTAATACTCTCACACTCTAAGTTAACTCTTATTCCTTATTTACACTCTGTCATGTGGCGGTATTTTTATTACTAGCATGGCATGTTCCTCTTCTGCTCCCTCTACGTCTGGCTGGTGACTGCTCACTGGTCCCTTCTCCTTCCCATCATCCTTAGTTTGTTTGCCCCACCTATGTTTGCCTGGCTGCTGGCTCATCAGCATTTTTATTAAACCATTTTGAGTGACAAATCTTTACAGTGTATAAGAGGATTATTCCATAGCACGCACATGATCAGGTCAACAGGATGGGTAGCAAGTGCTTTTACACTGAACCATTCTGTACTATTATTGTTGCTGTCCTTGTTTTACAAGGTTTCTCTGTGTAGCCCTGGCTCTCCTAGAACTAGCTCTGTAGACCAGGCTGGCCTTGGGGATTTGCCTGCCCTTGCCTCCCAAGTGCTGGGATTAAAGGTGTGCACTGCCGCAACATGGCTCTATTTTTGTTTTTTAAGACAGAATCTCATTTAGCCCAGGCTGGCCTCATATTTGCTATATAGCCAAGAATGACCTTGAACTTCTTGATCTTCCTGCCCCCCTCCTGTTTTTGAGACAGGAGAGTGGCTAACTCTCAGTTAAGTTTTAATCACTTCTGAGTTCAAAACAGAAACCTCTTGGTGGTATAGTTCCCTCTTACATGGAAAATGTTGCCAGCTGTATAAAAATCATTTCTTTTTGTAAATGTTTTGTTTATTTTGAAACTAGGTTTCAAAGAGCTCAGGCTGGCCTGGGACTTGTGACTGTTTTTTCATGCATTTTCTGCTATATCATATTTGTATACGTATAAATGTATGCAGGTACATGTACATGTGTGTACTTGTGGAGGTCACAAGTTAGCATTGGGTGTCTTCTTTAGTTGCCTTCCATGTTCTTTTTGGAGATTTTTGAGGCAGCCTCTCACTGAGCTTGGGGCTTACCTGTTTGGTCAGACTAGCTAGCCAGTAAGCCCCAGGGCTGTCTTGTCTCTGCTTTGAGGGTGCATGTTGCTGTGCCTAGCTTTTATGTGAGTGTTGGTGACTGAGTTTAGGTCCCCATGCTTGTGCAGCAAGTACTTTACTAAAGGAGTCATCGCTCCACATCCTGTTTTTTGTTCGTTTGCTTTTGTTTTTTTATGCTGAGGATTTATACATGTTAGGTGACAGCTCCAGCCCCTAAACATGTATTTAAAAGTGGTTTGTTAAAGGTCAGTGATATAGTTTGGTGGATAAACGTACTTGCTACCAAGCCTAAAGATCTGGGACTTACATGTAGAAGGAGAAATCCTACTCCTACTCCTACCGTAGGTTGTTCTCCGATCTACATGTGCAAACACACACACACACACATACACACACACACACACACACACTGTGACACATGCCTGTGCGGGCATCTCTATACACACTCAATAAATAAATAAATGTAATAACAATAGCTTATTAAGTCAAATTTCTTGAGTTTAGGTGATAGTTTAATATGTATTTGGAATGTTAATTTATTGTTAATTTTAGCCTGTAAGCAAAGAAAATTGTGACTTTTTGCTCTTGTATTTATTTGTTTATTTATTTTTAGGAAATTCATACAAATGAAAAGGAAGTAACAGAGAAGGAAGTCACTCTTCACTTGTTGCCAGGTAATGGTCATGTTAACATCATATCTCACCTATAGCTCAAGGCCAAAGATAGATGATGTCATCCCTAGTGTTGCTATTATAAACTCTTTTGTTTTCATGCTCTGGCACATAACAATGATGATGATGTATCCTAACAAAGATGTCAAGGTCTTCAGTTACTACACACCTGACCCAGAGGTTACAACATTTGGAAAAAATTTCCTTGTTTCCCTTTCCTCCTATGTGATGGGAAATTCTCACTTCTTTCACAAGCCAGTGAAGCCTTTTTGAGGATGTCCTACCTGGTTTTGTCTAGTATTTCTGGTCTCCAATCAAGAAAATCCTAGACCCTGGAAGAATCCGATAGTCTGCATGTCCTTCTTGCTGCCTCTAACCATAGTTGCTCTCAACTCTCACAGCTGCCTGGGCCTCCCAGCACTGGCCGTGGAGGCCTCACCTGACTGTCTGCTTGTGTATTTCAGCACAGGTACCAGAGATACTAGGGCTGGCGGGGTTACTGGAGCTCTGCTTGGAAGTCATTCATTATGAAGGAGCCTGGATTGGGTTGACTGTTTTTGAGACAGGAGAGTGGCTAACTCTCAGTTAAGTTTTAATCACTTCTGAGTTCAAAACAGAAACCTCTTGGTGGTATAGTTCCCTCTTACATGGAAAATGTTGCCAGCTGTATAAAAATCATTTCTTTTTGTAAATGTTTTGTTTATTTTGAAACTAGGTTTCAAAGAGCTCAGGCTGGCCTGGGACTTGTGACCCTTCTGCCTCCCTCTCCTGAATACTGGGCTCACAGATGTGCATGTTGCATCCAGTTCCAAAAAGTTTTTGTTTTTCTTATAATGTGTGTTTTCCTGTAACAAGGATGCCTAACTTTTTATTAACTTTTTGTCCCCCTCCCAAGGCAGAGTTTCTGTATAGCCCCTGTTGTCCTAGAACTTACTTTGTAGACCAGGCTGGCCTTGAGGATCTGCCTGCCTCTGCTGGGATTAAAGGTGTGTGCCACCACCAGCCTGCTGTTATTCTTTAAAGCTAGATTAAATGAATTTTTAGCCAACAAGTGAATTCAAAGGTGAAGAAAGCCAGAGGGAAGCCCTGAGGTGGGGGGGGAAGATGGTTATCTATTAGATGACAAGAAAATTCCTTTGTTGTTATTGCTAAATTGGCTCTCTTATGGTGTGGGAAGTCCTTCTGTATATGTGCTGCTTTTATTGGTTAGTGAATAAAGAAGCTGCTTTTGTCCAGTGGCTTAACAGAATATAGCCAGGTTAGAAAACATATAGAGAGAGAGTAGGCAGAGTCAGAGACGCCATGTAGCGCCACCGAAGGAGTCAGATGCCTGGGAACTTTACTGTAAACCATGAGCCTTATGGTAAAATATAAAATAATGGAAATGAGTTAATTTAAGATGTATGAGCTAGCTAGAAATACGCTTAAGCTATTGGCCAAACAGTATTGCAGTTAAAATAGTTTCTGAGTGATTATTTGGGGTCTGGGTGGCCGGGAACAAACGAGCAGCCTCCACTCTTATTTCCTTAATGTCCTTCTCTTCCTGTCCTCACCCAAACACCAGCAGAGTTTTCTCTTCTAGGGAGCAGAGGATGCTCACCTAGGTCTAGCCCTAGTGATTTTTGGCTGTGGAATATGTCCCTGCAGATGGAGCAGGGGAGGTGGTGCATCGAGAGGAAATGCTTTGAACTAAGAAAGAGAGACTATGCCCCCTCCCCACCTTATGATCTCTTTTTCCCTCTCATCCTCCAACATGAGCCCGCACCTCTGACATCTGAGGAAGCTGCACAGAAAAGCCCTGGCTTACACAGGAAATGGCGCTGAGTTCTGAATCCAGGCCCTGCTGACCACCCTGCCTACCTTTGCTCCACTTCCAGGATCCCTGTTGTGGGACACCTGCTGGGTCAAAGTAGTAAAAACACCAAGATCTGCACTACAGAAGGTGGCTGAAAGTCAGGGCAAAGGGGCTCTAATCCCAGCATTTGGGAGGCTGAGGCAGGAGGATAATTGTGAGTTTAGGCCAGCCCAGGCTACTCAATGAATCAAAGCTAGTCTGTGTAATATGGTGAGACCCTGTTTCCAAACAAAGGAGAGGGAAGAAGCTTGAGCTCCTGAGTGGTTGGAGAAATCCCAGCATGACGGTCTCTGAGCCGTGTGGCTCTGCCTGCTCTGGAGTGCGCTGCTGCCGAGTGCTGCGCTGTACTGGGTGCTTGTCCCGGTGCTCGCAGCTCTGGGCCTTCCCTGAGGCCTCTGAGGAGAGCTCGCTTTGGTTTCCATCAGGTGAACAACTGCTTTGTGAAGCCAGCACAGTCCTGAAGTATGTGCAGGAAGATTCCTGTCAGCGCGGTGTCTATGGGAGACTCGTCTGCACTGACTTCAAGATTTCCTTCCTGGGGGATTACGACTCAGCCTTGGATAACGGCGGTGTACGTATGAGCTGCGTCTGCAGAGTGGTAGGGAAGGTGCAGCCGTGACTCCGGTGCTGTCCCTGCAGCTTTCTCCTCCCAGCCCATGCTGGTGGTCTGCTCTCGCCCTTCAGGGGCTCCCTCCAGCAGGAAGACCTAGAAATCACCACCTGTGCTTCCTGCTTGCTCGCTTTTGCCCCTCTAAGCTGACTTCACCAACTTTCCCCAATTTCTTCTGAATTCAGCACAGCATGAGTCACCCGCTGGTACAACCTCTCCTCTCCCATGTACAGTTTCTTATGTTCCCTCTTTCACAGATTTGGGCGCTTAGGTCTGGAGTGCGACCCTTGAGCTTGGGTTGTTTCTGTTTGATCTGAATCTAGTTGCAGTGTTGTTTGAGACTTGTGTCTCCTTAGGGGTGAGCGATAGAGGAAGGACAGCACTGCACCCCAGTGGGAACCCCACTGGACCCTGCCTGTTCCCCATGTGCCAGTGCCCTGGACCCCTGTGTTTCGTATAAAGCAGCACTGTTGCTACTTCCCAGGCTGGCCTCCTGTACCACTGTCTGTTGCAGGGCTTGACTCCTAGTTCTGAGCAAACACAGCTTTTGCCAAATACTTGACTTTCCAGCTGCTTCCCCAAAGCCCAGATAGCTTTGTCTCCGTCTGCCTGCACTGTGTGCAGAAGTGCTAACCTGTCACTTGTACACTTGGTTTTCAGTGGCACAGAAGTGGCGTGTTCTCCCTGGGTTGAAACAGCTGGTGCTCATGGGATTTTCTCTGTTGTACTGCAGCATCCCTTTACTTGGGGGCCTGGGGGAGATGCCTTTCTTCATTTATCTCTGTAAAGTGAAGAATAATGATTTGCTTTGCTATGAATGTCCGAGTTCATTGAAAGGAGTCGTAGTTATTTCCTTTTGTTTTTTTTTCTTTTTAGGAAACTCAGTTTAAGAATAAGATAGTAGGAGAAAATGATGTTCCCCTTCACTGTGTGGATCAGATTTATGGAGGTGAGTGTCTCCTTCCTTTGTTGCATTGCCTGCCTCAGAACATAGAGCAATAATGATATCTTATAGTCTGTTCAACTGTGCTGCATAAGTTACCTTATGGAAAACAGCTTTGGGAATTGTAAGTGCAGCATGGATAGCTCACCCAGGGTTACTTGGTTTGAGATGAACCAAGCTGGGCTTGCATCCTCTTCTCTCTATCTCATTCTTTTTTTGTTAAGATTTGTGTGTTAGTGTACGTACTTGTGTGGGTGTGCATGTGGAGATCAGAAGACAGCATGCAGGAGCTTCTCCGTGCGTCCTGGGGATCAGACTCAGGTCATCAGGCTTAGTGGGGAGGCTTACTTACTTACCTACTCACCTAGTTTTTTTGGGAATGTGGTAAGAGAGTATTCTGTTTGCTTGGTTGTTTGATTTAATGTAGCCCACTAGCCTCAGACTTCTGATTTTCTTGCCTCCGGCTCTTGCTCCCAAGTGCTGAGTTTTCAGGTGCAAGCCACCACACCTAGCCTAAAACCTGCTTTTTCTAACACGCACACAAATCGGTTAAGGCTCACTATAATGGGCATATCTTGACACACATTAAATGCTTATATGACAGTGTCCTTAGAAAACAGCACCATGATCAGTCAGTATACACAATGAAAACTTAAAAAAAACTTTTAAAAAAGAAGAAAAGAAAAACTTGAGCCGGGTGTGATGGTGCACACCTTCAATCCCAGAAGGCAGAGAGGAAGGTGGACTTCTGAGTTTGAAGCTACCCTAATTTATAGAGTGAGTTCCAGGACAGAAGTCTTGTCTCAAAACAAAACAAAAAAAAACAAACAAAAAACATGGATCCTGGGAACTGAACCCTGGTCCTCTGGAAGAGCAGGAAGTGCTCATAGCTGCTGAGCTGTCTCTCAGGCCCATCAGAGCTGGGCTTTCTTTAGACTGGTGGAGTCTGGTCTGTTCATTTGAGTCTTAGTCTTATTCCAGAGGAATAAAGAATCCTGTTGGAAGCCTGATGTGGTGGCACACACCTTTAATCCCAGCACTTTGGATGTAGAGGCAAGTGGATCTCATAGTTTGAGGCCAGTCTGATCTACAAACTTAGATCCAGAACAGCCAGAACTGCACTGAAGACAAAAAGAAAAGAATACTTTTGGGAGTGACTTCCATCCTTAGACGCTAACAGTCTACCTGTTCCTTTAGTGTTAATTTGTCGCCATGTAACAGTCATTTCTACTCATAATTTTGTCTTTGATCCGTAGTGTTTGATGAGAAAAAGAAGCCTCTGTTTGACCAACTGAAGAAATACCCAGAGAAGCTTATTATCCACTGCAAAGATCTGCGGGTGCTACACTTTTGTCTGAGGTACACAAAGGAAGAGGAAGTCAAAAGGGTAACTAGTTACATCTGTTTTTAGGTTTATTTCCCATCAGGATTTCCCCCACTGACTAGGTTTTGCTTATATTGCCTGAAGGTGGAAGGAAGCTTTTCACTCTGAAGCTGATGTCAGCTGCAATCTCATTCTCGGATTAATGTGTGAGAGATAGTTGGGACAAGCATGACTGGTTTTATTTGGCATGTATAACCTTGAGTCCTTCAGTTTATAGTGCTGGTTACCTAGAACTACTAAGGGGTGAGTGGGAGGTGATGAGTGAGGTCAGGGTTTGCTTGGGGATGGGGAGGAAAAGACAGCTAAGGCTGATCTTCCCCTAGAGTCTGTCTACCACAGGAATGCTGACTCCCGAGAATCTGTGTGTTTGCCTCTGCGAAACAGCAGTTGTTTCATGAGCAAAGTCGGTTCATCAGATGCACCTGTAAAGACTAAGCATCATTTCCTGGTAGATGCACAAGTTGCAATCAGGAAATGGCTGTACCAGTTTGCTACGATTCCTTATAATTTCCAAGGTTTTTCTTGCTGAGATAGGGACAGTGTCAGACTTGCTCCTCTCATGGTACGCACATTAGGGAAAGCCCAGCAAGATGCCAGTTTGTTTATACTGTCTTATCTGCAATGAATTATGCACACTTTAGGTAATGCTCTAATTTTCTTTGAAATAGTATGGTAGTTCAGTTAGAATAATGAATGTGATTATAATATAATACCTATTGTGAGCAGGCAAAAAATGCTATAGCTAGAGAAAATTCCCCAAGAAACAAAGCATTTCCTTTAAACAATTATTTTTGTTACTTATCCAAACATACTTTTGATTAACACAATAGACAGACAGAGAGAACAGCGACAGATTTCTTTTCTTTTTTTCCTTTTGAGACAAGGTCTTGTGTAGCCCAGGCTGGCCTTAAATGCTCTCTGTTGCCGGGAATGACCTTGAAGCTTTGATTCTCCTCTTTTCTCCTGAGTGCTGGGACTATAAGCATGTTCTACTAGGACTTTGTGCATGCTAGGCAAGCATATTCCTAACTGGGCTACATGCCTAGCCCTTTCCTTTATTGTCTACAGCATCCACAAGTGAGTCAGCTAAGTGTCTTGCTTTTTGTCTGTTTCACTTGTGAGTCTTGGACATGTTGGATATTTGGACCAGACCTTATAAGGCAGTTGAGATTTTTAACTCTTGCTTTTTGGGAAATTAGACTGTGTTTTAAATTTTCCCTAGACGTTCGAAGCTCTTAGAAAGCATGACAAAATAGTATTCTGTTGCTCTGGCACTGTTCTAAGAGCTAAATCATAGATTGAAGTTCAGCAAGGGTTATGCTGTCCCCAGAGCCCATTAGTGTTGTAGGAGGCTGCTCGTTTGTTCCCGGCTGTCCAGACTCGAAATAACCACACAGAAACTGTATTAATTAAATCACTGCTTGGCCTATTAGCTTCTTATTGGCTAGCTCTTACATCTTAATTTAACCCATTTCTATTATTCTGTATATTGCCAGATGGCTGTGACTTACTGGCAAGGTTCCATGCAGTGTCTGTCTCCCATGGCACCTCCCTGACTCTGCCTTCTGTCTCCCAGCATTCAGTTAATTTTTCCCATCTAGCTCTAGTCTGCCCTGCAATAAAAGCAATACATATACAGAATAGCTTCCCACATCACATTAGTGTGATAGAGAACAAAGTTGGCCCCTACCTTTCTTAGCGTTGACCTATCAGAAGCATAACAATATCCATTGGTCCTTTCTTCTCTAGATTGTCAGTGGCATAATCCATCATACTCAGACTCCTAAACTGCTGAAAAGACTGTTTCTGTTTTCCTATGCAGCTGCTGTGCACAGCACAGGTAAGTCTCTTTTGAGCTATTGTTGCTGAGTAGCCAAGATTCTTCCACTCATCTTTGGTTTTGTCTCTTCCTATAGCCCAAGCTGAGTCTCACTGAATGCTGGGACTAGCAGTGTCTCCACCCCCAGAAGGTTCCTTTCTATTCTCCCCTGTGATCAGGAGGGGAACCCTGTTTAGTGAGTTTGTATCACTGTGACCAAATGTCTGTCAGAAAAGGGAAGAAGGATTTACTTTGGTTCACTGTCTGAGAGGGTTCACTTTATGGTTGCTTGGTCCATGTTTTTGTGGAAGGGGAGGTTGTTCACCTCATGGTGACAAACAGGAAATAGAAAAAGAAGGAAACAGAAACCAGACATAACTTTCAAAGGTACACCCCAGTGACCTGCTTCCTCCAGGAATGCTCAGTTTCTCAGTGTCTGCATCCTCCCTGTCTTAGGTTACCATTGCTGTGATGAAACACCATGACCAAAAGGAAGCTGGGGAGGAAAGGGTTTATTTGTCTTACACTCCCACATCGTAGTCCATCATTGAAGGAAGCCAGGACAGGAACTCTAACTGATGCAAAGGCCATGGAGGTGCTTTGCTTACTTGCTTGCTTCCCATGCCTTGTTCAGCCTGCTCTCTTATAGAACCTAGGACTACCAGCCCAGGGATGGCACCACCCACAATGGGCTGGTCCTTCCAGCCTCATCTTATGGAGTCATTTTATCAATTGAGGTTTCCTCCATTCAGATGAATGTAGCATGCGCCAACTTGACCTAAAACCAGCCAGGACACTACCCAAATGACAACATGCGTTTGGGTACAAGCATCCAACACATGATTCATTTAGGAGTTTTTTTTTTTCTTTCTTTTTTCTTTTTTTTTTTTTTTTTGTTTTTTTCTTTTTTTGAGACAGGATTTTGCTGTAGTTTTTGGAGCCTGTCCTGGAACTATCTCTTATAGGCCAGGCTGGCCTCAGACTCAGAGATCTGCCTGCCTCTGCCTCCTGAGTACTGGGGTTAAAGGCATGGATCACCACCACCTGGCGAGTTTTCTTTTCCTGTGTTCTTTGCTTAGCTGACCTTTTAGGTCTGTTTGCTTTCATGTTGTAATGAATTGTTTTTATGGTTACTTATGGAAAGTGAAATCGAGAGGTGGCTTGGTGTCTAAGTGTTTGCTGTGCAGGCCTGAGGACTTGAGTTTGAATCTCTGGCATCCATGTAAAAGACAGGTTCAGGGATACATGGCTGGAACCCCAGTGCTGGTGACAGAAACAGATAGATTGTGGGAGCTTTCTATATGAGCCAGTTTCATAAAAGAGCCAAACTCATGCCCTCATGCTTGTATACAAACCACTTTACCCATGAAGCCATCTCCCTATCTCTGCTTTGTCTTTTGGACATCTTGGCTATAATATGTTGTAGAGAAGATGTTCCTTGGTGTTGTCTATCTATGGTTCTAAATGCCTGTGTGTTTGCATCTCCTCATTTTAAAATAGCAGTGTTCATGCCTTCCCTGTGAAGATTATTAAGCATTAAATTCATGACATAGGATGAAGTCTTTACATAAGAGGTAATTGAGAATGAAATTGCCTATTATCTGGGCATAGTGGTACACCATAGTTGGAGGCAAAAGCTGGTGGATCTCTGGATCTCTGTGAGTTCAGTGCCAGCCTGATTTAGGTCAGGTTGGAGGCCAGAAAGGGCTGTATAGAGTTTCAAAGAAGAAAAGAAAAGGTACCCATCACTCATGGTGGGCTATGCATGAGAATTAGTTCACATTAATATTACTGAGCTGGGCAGGAAATTTGTTCCTATAGTTCATCTTTGTTACAGACAGATCTTTTATATTGTAGCTATAAAGTGACAGTATAGTAGGCATACACATGGCTTTTTTGGTTGATTACTACAGTTTATATACACATATGTTGGTTTCATACTTGAAAAATAATCATGGGACTGGAAAGGTTAAGAGCACAGCCTGTTCTTCCAGAGGTCCTGAGTTCAATTCCCAGCAACCACATGGTAGCTCACAACCGTCTGTACTGAGATCTGGTGCCCTCTTCTGGCATGCACCCATGCATACAGACAGAACGCTGTATGCATAATAAATAAATAAATCTTTATAAAAATCATCTGTATTTTTAGAAATTCCGCCTTTCCTTTTATGCTGTAGTGTTTTTCTGTTGGCTTAGTAACCACACCTGAGTCTATGATGTTTTAACTACCCCCTGTGCCCTGTGGCCCCACAGCTTCACATTGCTCAAATCAGGGTACTCACACTTCTGGTCCCATCAGCACCAGCTAGGCTGTAGCACACAAATGTAGGTTTTAACTAAGTCTCTATTCTATTTACCAATAAAGATTCGGGAGTCAGATGTTGTGGGTAAAATCCTGCTAGGTAAGGGAAGCTGAGAAGCAACTAGCTGACCTTCCTTTTTGACTGGAGATCCAGTAAGAGAACATCTCTCCACCTGTCCCAAAACAAAAAGATAAAGTCCCTCCGTACTCCTAACTGTACATATTCTTGGTTTCTCCATCCTTTCTATGGCTAATTCCTACTAACTAGTCACTTGCTCTGCTCCTTGATCCAATTAATTTTATTAACACGGTCTTGGTGTTTCAGAGTGCAATCAAATATCCCGCAACAATTCCGATTCTGGCCTGGGTGCTATTGTACAACTTTGACAGTGTTGACTAATTATATATAAGCATCTTTTGGATTCATATTTGAAAAATCACACTTCTGTTTTATGAGTTATACTTTTTCCATAGATCCTGATTTTGGAAAAAAAATACAAAACACATTAAAGACAGGCTTTCACTATGTAACTCACTCTGTAGAACAGGCTGGCCTCCAACTCCAGAGCTGCACCCTATGATCTCTGTCTCCTGAGTGCTGAGATTTAAGGTGTACACCAAGTGTTCCTGAGGTCTGGTTCTTGCTACGATAGTTTCTGGCCTTGCTAACACATGACCAGTCTGCTTAGCACTTACCTTTCCTACCTTGGCAATTTCTTGATCCTTTGTTTTTTTTGTCTTTGATTTTTGTTTTGTTTTGTACCCAGGGTATATAGAACCTTTATTCTGTTGTAATTCACCCTTCTCTGATCCTCTTTCACTGGGGCATGGGATAGGAAAGGTTGTAACTAACAGACACTATTTGGCCATTAGTTTTTGCTTTGTTTTATTTTTGTGTTTTGAGACAGGGTTTCTCTGTGTAGCCCTGGCTATCCTGGAACTTACTCTGTAGACCAGGATGGCCTTGAATGCAGAGAGCTGCCTACCTCTGCCTCCCGCGTGCTGGGATTAAAGGCACGTGCCTCACCATGGTAGCTATTAGTTTTTGTGTATGGGTTTTGTTAATGTGAGCACTTTACAGTTGGGACCCTTCCATCTACTTCCTCAGTGCTAGGAATAAGTACCTGCCTGGATCAAACCAACATCTTCATGCTTGAAAGGCAAGTATATTATCAACTGAGCTTTCTCCCTCAGTCTAGTATTTTTAGACTGGCAAGATAGATAGGGTACCTGTTTATTTGTCTATGGTGTTATTTGAGGCAGGGTTCCATTAGGTAGCTCAGGCTGCCCTCAAACTCAAGATCCTTTAGCCTTCTAAAATGTTGATGTTATAAGTGTAAGCACTGTTCCTGTCTTATATATCTCTTTGATTTGTTTATTTTTATGTGTATGATTGCTTGCATGAATGCATGCACTACATGTGTGCTTATTACTTGTTGTGACCAGAAGGGGACATTGGATCTTTTGAGACTGTAGCTAGAGGCAGTTAGGAGCTGCCATGTGGGTGCTAGAAATTGAAACCTGCAAGTCTAGAGGAATCACCAGTGCTCTTGACCACAGAGGAGTCTTTTTATCTCACTTAGACACCTACTCCCCCAAGACAGAGTTTCTCTGTGTAGCCCTGGCTGTCTTGGGACCTGTTCTTAAACCAGGCTAACCTCAAACTCAGAGATCCACTTGTGTCTGTCTCCCAAGTGCTGGGATTAAAGGCATGAGCCACCACTGTCTGTTATACAATATTTTTAATGTGCTTGTGTTTTGACAATTACACGAGGTGTGGAATTTTCCACTTGGGAAATCACATTGGCAGTCCAGAAATTTAAGGTTTACTTTTGTATTTTTAGATTAGAAATATTTGACTTATGTAAACATTGATTATTGTCATTGTTCAAACTACTTTTACTGTAATTTTATTTTATTTAACAGAAGCAGGTGGGTTAGTTTTAGCAACACTTGTTATTTTCCAGGAAGTTTGGGTTTTTCGATGTGCCTGTCACTTCCAGAAATCAGTGATGGCCTGGAGAAAGGCCACAGCCATTTCTGCTGAGCTTTGGGCAGGACTCGTGGACATTTTCTTCTAACAGTGCTGATGTAGCCAAAGTTCCTGTCACCATGATGCAGGCCTTGGCTATTGGCTACTTCCTCCACTGTGACTCTCTGGTCTGTTTATGGCTTTCAGTGACCAAGTGCCGTCCTGGACAGGCTTCTTGCAGGCAGCACATCACAAGCTGAAGAAGGATTTATGTTCCAGAATCAGACATGCTATTCTCATCAGTGTGCCATGTTATACACATGTGGAGGGCTAAAAATATTTCAATTCTTAGCTTTTGTGCCAAGCCCATTTTTCAATGCTTCACAGGATTTTTGTTTTATATAAATTATCTCATGAACTGAAAATAGAACTAGAAATTACTTTTGCAAGGAATGGAACAAGAATAACTTTTGGGGGCTGGAGGGATGGCTTAGCAGCTAAGAATACATGCTGCTTTTCCCGAGGACCCAAGTTCAGTTCTTAGCACCCATATTGGGTGACTGACTCACAACTGCCTGTAAACTCCAGCTACAGGAGATCCAGCACCATTTTCTGGACTCCATAGTCTCCTATACACTCTTGGCATACAGAAACAGATACACATAAAATAATAAAAATCAAACTTTAGAAACAAAACTCCTTTCCTACTGTCTATATCTATATATCTATATCTATATAAAGAGACAACATTGACCAGTGTGAGGATCAGTAGGTAAACACGCTTGCCTTCAGACCTGACAACCGAGTTTTGTTGTTAGACCAACATATGTGCACTGTGACAGGCATGCCATGCTCTCTTCTCCTACACAAAATAAATAAATGTAATGAAAATTTCAATAAAGTTTCCATTGTAATTTTTGGATTAATGACAGAAAAATGGAGAAAAATGGAACAATTAAGCTATGAATTTATTTTTAGATAAAAATAGACTCAGTATAATAAATTGGTTTCAGAGCTTGTATGTTCACATGAACAAAATACCAGTGTCATGGAAAGAGTTCACCATGTGCTGATTTTGTTTTCTTAGCCACTGATCCCAGCAATCACACTGTAATGTTTGACACACCTAAAGACTGGTGTTGGGAGCTGGAGCGGACCAAGGGTAGTGTGAAGTACAAGACAGTGAGTGTGAATGAAGACTACAGGATCTGTGAGAGGTAAGCTCTCCACGGGCTCTCCCCATTAGTAGTGGGTATGTGGGTGGGCATGTGCATATGTGGATACGGATGCCCTTGGAGGCCAGAAGATGGCCTCAGGTCATAAAGTAGGGTTCCCGGAAAAAGCAAGTTTGATATCATTGGGATATGCGTGTGTGTGAACACATACACACACATACACGCGCGCACACACACACACACACACACACACACACACACACTATTTATTAGATTGACTTACAAGATGTGGTCTAGGTAGTCCAGCAATGGCTGCCTCACACTAGAGAAGTCAAGAATCCAGCAGTTACTTAGTCGACAAGGCTGGCTGTCTCAGTTATTCCAGTCTAGCACTAAAGGACTGGAGGATTCCTGGAGACCTGCAGATCTTCCATCTTTGTTGAACTCTTGAAGTTGGTTCTGATACCAGCAAAAGGAAACCACAACAATAAATAAATGATCTTGTCAGAAAAAGTGAGGGTAAGCAGGCAAGCAAAAAAAAAAAAGGCAGTTTTCTTCTTCCTTATCTTTTTGTCCAGGCTTCCACTAGAAGGTGCTGCCCACATTAATGTACTTTCTTATTTCAAATGTGATCAAGAAAATTCCTCACAGGAGTACCCAGAAGTTTCAGATATAGTCAAGTTGACAACCAAGATGAGCCATCCCAGATCCCACAGAGCTGGAGTTAGAGAGTCTGTGAGCTGTTGGTAAGCGGGTGCTGTGAACTGAACTCTGTCCTTTGGAGACTAGCACACACATTGAGGTGCGCGCCTGGTCCTTTGGGAGAACAGCACACACATAGAGGTGCGCACTTGGTCCTTTGGAGACTAGCACACACATAGAGGTGCGCACCTGGTCCTTTGGAAGAACAGCACACACATAGAGGTGCGCACCTGGTCCTTTGGGAGAACAGCACACACATAGAGGTGCACACCTGGTCCTTTGGAAGAACAGCACACACATAGAGGTGCGCTTGGTCCTTTGGAAGAACAGCACACACATAGAGGTGCGCACCTGGTCCTTTGGAAGAACAGCACACACATAGAGGTGCGCACCTGGTCCTTTGGGAGAATGGCACACACATAGAGGTGCACGCCTGGTCCTTTGGGAGAACAGCACACACATAGAGGTGCGCACCTGGTCCTTTGGAAGAACAGCACACACATAGAGGTGCGCACCTGGTCCTTTGGAAGAACAGCACACACATAGAGGTGCGCATCTGGTCCTTTGGAAGAACAGCACACACATAGAGGTGCGCATCTGGTCCTTTGGGAGAATGGCACACACATAGAGGTGCGCACCTGGTCCTTTGGGAGAACAGCACACACATAGAGGTGCGCACCTGGTCCTTTGGGAGAACAGCACACACATAGAGGTGCGCACCTGGTCCTTTGGAAGAACAGCACACACATAGAGGTGCACACCTGGTCCTTTGGGAGAATGGCACACACATAGAGGCGCACGCCTGGTCCTTTGGGAGAACAGCACACACATAGAGGTGCGCACCTTTAAATCCAGCACTGGGGAGGCAGGAACAGGTGGATTTCTGTGAATTTGCAGCAAGCCTGGTCTACATGGCAAATTCCACAACAGCCAGGGCTATGTAAAGAGACTGTCTCAAAACAAAAGAAACTCACTTATGAGCCATCTCTCTATCCCCCCCACACTGTGTTTGAATGTATTAACATTGTTCTGTAATTATCATCACAGTAAGTTTTAGAACATTTTCATCATCTAACAAAGAAACACCAAATTAACAGTTACCTTACATTTCTCTTCAGTTCTCCTCCCTGTGCCAGTCCCTAAGAAAATCATACATTTGCCTCTTCTGGACATTTTTATAAATAAAACAGGATAGGTGGTCTTTTATAACTACTGTATGTAGTTTTTTTTTTTTGCATTTTGTTTGTTTTGAGACAGGGTCTTTCTGTGGCGTCTAGGCAGCTCTAGAACTCACTAGTTAGCCCATATTAGCCTCAAACCCAAGATTTTCCTGCTTCAGTCTCCTGAGTATCCATTTCAGATATGTACCAACACCTCTGACTTTTCCTTTTTATGCCAGATGATATTCCATGGCATGTATATACTATATTTTATTTATCCATTCGTCATAAACATTTATGTATAAGTTTTATGAGGATATGTTTTTTACTTCTTTTCAGTATATAATCTAATACAGTGCCAAGCATGTATTAACCCTGCGTTTAGCTGCTTAAGAATTACCACACTAACTACCTCAGATATTGTACCATTTGTCACTCCTGTCAACTGTGTAGAGATTCCTTTTTTTTCAACCCAACTTTTACTTTTATTGTTTGTCTGTAATGTTGGAGACAGCCACCTCAGTCTTGTGCATGCCTGGCAAGACGTGTGCCACTGAACTACACCTCCACTCTTACCAGCAGCTTTTCACAAAATCTCTAATCTATTAGACACTCAAAAGTGAGGTTGGGTAGATGGCTTATTTGGTAAAGTGCTGCCCACACAAGGATAAGGACCTCAGTTTGATCCCTAGGACCTATGTAAAGAAATTTACCTGCCCGTAATCCCAGTGTTGGGGAGGTGAAGACAGGATGATCCCTAAGGCTTGCTGGCCAGCCATTCTAGCCAGTTGGTGAGCTCCAGGTGCAGTGACAGACCCTGTCTGAAAAAGATGGCTTAGCAGGTAAAACTAGTTGCCAAATTATCCTGAGCTTGATTCTCAGAACCTGAGTCCTGAACATTGCTCCTGACCACACATGGACCACGGCGTGTGAGCACTTGCACTCACACACCACACAGTTATACATAGAAAAGAACTCAAGGTAGAGAGCTATTGAGAAAGACGCTGGATGAGATAGGGCATTTGCCTGTCATGTGTGAGGCCCTGGGCTCAATAACCAGCATCAGAAACAAAACTATGGAGAAACACAGATCAGGCACAAGATTGGAAGAGCTGGAGAAGAGGGTGGTCAGGAAGGTCCCAGGAGTAAAGTGGCCTTGGTCAAAGCTGAGAGAAGGGGAGGCAGAGAAGCTGGGGTGGGGGCAGGAACTGGGGAGGAGCAAGCCGGGGAAAGGGGAGTAGAGGGTGAAGAGAAGGGAACAATTGGATGCTTCCAGAAGAATTTATCCTTTTTGAATCTAAGAACAGCGAGGGGGAGTTTGACAGAGGCAGGGAGTGATCTGGCCTACATTTTTAAAGTATGACTCTGTGGATCTGTTTTTAGAAACTCGAGTCTTATCATTTGGGAACATAGCTTCCTAGCACACTGCTGACAGCCACATAAACTACTGTGGGTTTATAGCACTTTTCTCTGGGTGGCTCAGACAACCCCCTCCCTGTGTAAGAATGAGAAACTGCATTGTCAGAACCGGCTCCGAAGCCACAGACCTATTGTTTCTCTTTTTCAATTCGCTCCTAAAATCCTTACTTCATTCCACTTCCTTGTGGAGATACAAGGTGTGTAACTCCGAACTCCGTGGGGTGTGCGCCTCACAGAGAGACCCATGAGCTAATGCTGACACAGCAAGTTGTAGCTCTGCCCTGGGCTTACTCTTCCCAGATGACAGCTGTACTGAAGCTGCCCGAAAAAGGCTCTTTCCTCTGAACTCATCCCACTGCCTGAAGTGACTGTTTTTGAAGAGGGAGGACTAAATTACTCAGAGTCTCAACAGGCGCCTGAGTTATGTGGGGCAGGTGAGAACACTGCCCACCCTGTGCCTGGTGTGCTACTCTCCCTCATTGCTGGGACAGAGGCTAAAATTAACCCCAGAGCTAACATTATAGGATATTAGGGAAGACATGCAAGTCTAGAGGAGGTTCCACGGCTGCCTTATAGTGTGGGAACTCCTCAGCTGATGTCAGAGTGGTGGCCTATGGGGAAATTACTGCCCAGTCAGTGCTTCGCACAGTTAGAAATCTCAGTCACCCAGGAGCTTGTTGGGACCCTGGTGCTGACTGAGCAGGTGGGGCGGGGCTGAGTCCGCATCCTCCCTGAGCTCAGGTGATGCTGCCTTAATACCCTGATAGCATGACATTCCAGAATAGCAGCGTTAATCCCCACTGCTTTCCCAGAGTGGGGATTAAGCTTCTGCTCTGTAATCATAGGGTCAGGCCTGGATTTTGGTATTTTTCTAATCCTTCCCAGTGCATCTCATGGACTTCTTGAGTTTAAAAGCTATTGATCTGGGAAAATGTTTTTACTTTGGTGATTATCCCTAAAGAAAGATTAGCTTACTGTCCACCCACTCAGGCAGGTACATAAGAGAATATAAAAGTACTTCAGAACTTTAGAAGTCAAGGTCTTAAAACTTGTACTGACTTGGAGGCCATAGTCATGACCAGTGGTTCACATCATAGTCTCATAGGGGCTGTAAGATGACTCAGATGACTCAGGGGTTAAGAGCACTTCTAGAGGACCCCAGTTTAGTGTCCTGTGCCTGTGTCTGTCTACTAACAATTGCTAACACTCCAGCCCCAGGCGATCCAACCCCCTCTTCTTCTGACCATTAGCATCCAGACACACACCATGCACATGTAAACACACACACACACACACACACACACACACACACAAATGCATGAATATTTAAAATGATTGATTATACAAATTTTGTATAAGGTTGACTATACAAATTTTGAAGCAGTATAGAAAAACAGTGTATGCCATACTTTCTTTTACTCAGGTGTAACAATGACTAATCCATAGCTAATCCTGTTTTCTCTACACCCCCACCTAGTTGTCTCTCTTTGGAATTGCTTGGAAATGAATTTCAAAGCTCATTTCATTTATGTTTAGTATATATTGCAAAGAACAAAGGACTGGGGTTGTTTTTAATATACACAGCATGAAACCATTATCATACTTTTCAAATTCACACTACTTTTTTGTTTGTTTTGTGAGACAGGGCCTCCCTTTTGAAGCACTTGCCTTGGGACTTGCTATAAGAACCTCAGACTCCCGTTGTCTCCCAAGTGCTGCCTTGAAAGGAATGTGTCAGCCCCAGCCTCACACTGTTTCTTTGATATCTAATTAGTATTTAAATTTTCCCATGATTTGGTTTGGCTTGGGGGTGGAGGGAAGTTGTTTTGTTTTGTTTTGTTTTGAGACAGTGCTTCACTGTGTAGCCCTGGCTGTCCTGGAATTCACTCTGGAGACCAGACTGACTTGGAACTCACCAGAGATCCAACTGCCTCTGCTTCTTTCTCCTGAGTGCTGGGACCAAAGACATGTGCCATCACCACCTAGCTGTCTTTTATCTTTTTAATCTTACTGTTAATAAAGAGTCAGAGTAACATTTTGCCATTTCCTGATGGGTTTCTTAAGTTACTCTTGTATGGGTTCTGAAACTGTCATATTTTACTTGAAGAAATCAAGCAGATTGCTAGTTGTTTCCCACAGTATGGGATGTGGTGATTGTACCAAATCACCAAATATTTAGTATATTGTGATATTTAGTATATTGTGCAACTTGTGTGGATTGATTAATGGATCAATCATTTGTGTTTTGATCTCTTTGCTTTAGCGATCCATCTGTCCATGGGGCTGGGGGATGGCTCGTGGATAAGACTACTTTTTGCTCTTTCAGAGGACTGGAGTTTGGCTCTTAGCACCCACATGGTGGCTTACAACTTGTAACTCCAGCTCCAGAGAATCCAATGCCCACTTCTTCTGGCTTTTGAGGTCACTTTCATGGACATGGCACATAGACATACACATAAAAAAATTCCTTTTTTTCTGAAATTTGTCTTTCTCATGATTTGATGCTTGTCAGATTGAGGTCAGGCATGCAGTGTGTCTGCAAATACCGTCTGATTACAACTTAGCTGCACAGGCGCCTTCTGTTTTGGGAGGCTGTATTTCAGACTCTTTGAGAGAGAGGTGTTTACCACTCTATAGGGAGGGGTCTGTTGACTAGAAGCCAGTGCACCCATGTATTTTGGATCCCTCTGAAAATCTAGTTTATCTATGTCCTACAGTTCAGGCTTGTTGTTATAAAGATTTTCTCCTGGAGAATAATCACAATGGCTCCAGGTCTTTGTAACTCAGGAAGAGCTTCACTGAGTGTGGTGTCTCAGTTTCTCAGCTTCTTTATCTATAAAATGGTAATACTCATACTATGTATCTGCTAGTGGTGTTGAATTAAATGAATCGTCTATGTGTTGGATTAGTGCAGTGTCCGCCACAGAGGAGACCTCTTCAAATGTTTGTTGTTGGCAGAACTTTTTGTTTGTTTGTTTGAGACAGAGTATTTCTTTTTCTTTTTCTTTTTTCTTTTTTTTTCGAGACAGGGTTTCTCTGTGGCTTTGGAGCCTGTCCTGGAACTAGCTCTGTAGACCAGGCTGGTCTCGAACTCACAGAGATCCTCCTGCCTCTGCCTCCCGAGTGCTGGGATTAAAGGCGTGCGCCACCACCGCCCAGCTGAGACAGAGTATTTCTATGTAATTCTGTCTTGGACCTCACTATGTAGACCAGGCTGGCCTTAAACTCACTGAGATGAGATCTGGTCTCCCAAGTGCTGGAATTAAAGTCACGTGCCACCATATCCATCTCAGAGTGTGTATGTGATAAAATGGACTGCAATCCTCATTTTACTGATTTTCATATTTTTTAATTATAAACAACACAGGTGTTTATGCTGTTACTGTTCATTGTTTTTTTGGACTTCATATACTTTTAGATATCACAATTTCCAATCTCTGCCTTTTTTCGGTGCTGAAGATCAAACCTTCAGCCTTGTGCATGCTAGGCAGGGGCTTTGTTGCAGGGCTGTACCCACACCCCTCATCTTCCTCATGTTGCTGAAGAGGGGTGGCATTTCATCTTTGGTTTTTTTTTGGGGGGGGGGGCTGTCTTGGAACTCACTCTGTAGACCAGGCTGACCTCGAACTCACAGAGATCAGCCTGCCTCTGCCTTCTAGGTGCTGGGATTAAAGGCGTGCGCCACCACTGCCCGGCTTTATCTAATCTATTTTAGTGAGTCCAAAGTTTTATACCCAAACCACTTTTTATCATAACTTGTATAACCATACTAAAAACATCTTTTTAGATAAACAACTTAAGCTTTTATGTTTCTCAGTCTTATAAACTTTACATCTCTTATGTGAAGATGTATTGCTGTGACTGATTTAATAAAAAGCTAATGGCCAGTAGCTAGGTAGGAGGGATAGGCAGGATTTCTGGGGGAAAAAGAGAAAGAGGAGGAGGAATCTAAGCATGCAGGAGAAACCAGGAGGCAGGGAGAGGAAACAGGAGGTAGGTATAAAGTGAAAGAGAGGTAGTACCACATGATAGAATGTAGATTAATATAAATGGGTTAATTTAAGTTATAAGAGCTAGTTGAGACAAGCCTAAGCTATAGGCAGAGCTTTCATAATAATAAGTCTCTGTGTCATTATTTGGGAACTGGCTGGTGGGACAGAAAAAGACTTGGTTACAGTTGATGCCACCTCTTTCTTCTAGGTTGCCCGCATACTTTGTTGTCCCTGGTCCCCTACTCGAAGAGGATGTGCGGCGTTTCCAGGGCCATGGCATACCAGTAAGTGCATCCGGGACCCTGGGAAAGGGGACATCAGCAGCTCTCGGCCATCCTAGCAGTGGTGCTCCAGAGGTTGTCCATGGTCTATGAGCAATCCAGAAACACCTCCTGAACTCGAGGCTCCCTAGGACAAGTCTAGGACAAGTCATCACAAATGCTCTTGTAATATTAGATAGAAGACATTGAAAAGCTTCATGAGGATAATAGACCCATCTGCTTTGACACCTAACTCGTTTGAACCAAACTGACACTACATATAGTGGAATTTAATTTATTTTGGCTAGCTAGCTCTGTTATCTTGATATGGGCATGTTGAATTTTCTGCTAGAGACATCATGAAACACACCTTAATTTTCACAGAACAGGCTATATAGTATGTCATTGATCAAATAAAACAAAACTAGATGACACCCCTGTTTCTAGCTGTTGACTGGGAGTTACCTAACCTATGGGACTTTAGAAAGAAATGAAAATTACAAGGCCGTGCTGTGCAGTACACAGGCTGGCTTGCCAGAAGAATCTTGAATGTGAGCCAACATGATGAAGCTCCGTCACATACCCAGAGCCCATGGAGCTGGGTAGGTAAAGAGTGTGGCCCTTGAGGTGGGACAGAGTCTGAACGCCTGGCCTAGGAGGGCAGCTCTGCAGCCCCAGCCTCTAACACTGTTGGCTAAATAGTGCCAGGTGACTGAACGTTTTCAGAGGAAGCCAGAAGTACAGATTTCTGTGTGATTTTCCTGATCTCCAGCTAGCCGTAGCTAAGTCGAGAGTTTCAAAAAATGTGTCTTTGGGGGATGGCTGGATCAGATCCCACCAGTTTCCAGCCTTCGGTTGACAGCTGCAGTTCATGTACTTACCTTTACACTCCTAAAATGAGTGAGCCTGTGAAAGAGTTTTTGTTTATGTAGTTGTGTAGTATTAGAAATTTCAGTTGAGGCTGGGTGGTGGTGATGCATACCTTTAATCCTAGCACTCAGGAAGCAGAGGCAGGTGGATCTCTATGAATTCAAGGCCAGCCTGGTCTACAGAATGAGTTCCTGGACAGCCAGGACTACACAGAGAAACCTTGTCTCGAAACCGGCCCTCCCATCCCCAAAAGAAAGAAACTCTAGTTGAAACTAACTGTAATATCTCATGCCTATAATCTCCACTTTCAGGAGGCTGAGGCAGGAGGCTTGCTGTGAGTTTAAGGACAACATAGGCTATAGAATGAGACCCTATTAATTTTTTTCAAACTAAATCTTAATGAAAATTTTAAGTAACATGTGTTAGCATAAGTAACATCCTTTTATGGAAAATAGCCATCCAAAATAGTAAAATGGAACAGCACTATTTAGCATTTTGGAAATAGATGCCAGCTGGATTCTTTTATTCAGTCTTTTTTTTTTTTTTTTTTTTTTTTTTGGTTTTTCGAGACAGGGTTTCTCTGTGGTTTTGGAGCCTGTCCTGGAACTAGCTCTTGTAGACCAGGCTGGCCTCGAACTCCCAGAGATCCGCCTGCCTCTGCTGGCATTAAAGGCGTGCGCCACGACCGCCTGGCTTTATTCAGTCTTTTGTGGTATGCTGAGGATCAGTTAAAGAACACAGTGAAGCTTCAGCTTCAGGCTTGTGCATTTGGAACGGAAGGCATAGTTAGTAGCTGGACTGAGAATATTATTTGACAGTGCAAATGACAGTTTTACAAAGGTCCCAAGAACCTGTCATTAAAGTCCCCCAGTCTCTCATACTTTGAAAAAAATTAGAGAATGCATTTTGTTCTATTACACATTTGGAAAATGCTGGTCCATGGTTACACATCTAAATTGACACATTAATACCGTTCTCTTACAAGAAGAGTGATGATGAGAAGCTGTTCAAGTAATGTCAGGTACTAGTTTTCCACAGTTTTTGTTTTAAACCTCATTTTGTTTTGTCATTGGCAACATTTTGTAAATTGCTTTTTGTGAATTGATAAACTCACTTTATTCAAATTTTAAGTTTTGTTAGAAATCTAATTTTTTGAGGTTTATTCCAGAAGCACTGTATTTGCATCATTTCCTTCTCTCCTCTCAACTCTTGCCATGTCCCTCCCTACTCCTAAAGTTATGACCTTTCTTTATTGTTTTTACATGTGTGTGTGCATATATGTATATACATACACACATAACCTACTAAGTCCATTTAGTGTTTCTTGTATGTAACATGTGTTGGTGGCTGACCACTTGAAATTAGATAACTCATCAGGGGATCATCCTTGGAAACCCTTTCCCCCTTTCTCACTTTCTCAGTTGATTGCACAGAGCTGTTCCCTAGGGCAGGGCCTAGATGTGGGTTTTACCCGCCCACATTGGCATGTCAGCTGGTATTCTTGTTATGCAGGTGTCTTACTCATACTATTGAGGTTTCCTGGGCACAGCTGTTTCCCAGCAGGTGTCCTGATCCTCTGGTTCTTAAAACCTTTCCACCTTTGTGCATGTATCAGTTAGAGTTGGACACCCCAGATTTCTTTCACTTGTTTTCTACATTTGACCAGCTGTGATCTCTGTCATGGTCAACATTTGCTGTAAAAAGAGGCTTCTTTGATGAGGGGTGAGAGTTATACTTACCTATGGACATACGGATAAGTATTTAGAATACAAGTCCAATGAAGTAGCTGTTGTTTACCCCCAAGTTAAAAGTGCCAAGTTGCATCATTGATACTGTCCTCTGGCTGGTCCTTTTCTGGTCTGTAGGCATCACAGTTAGATGGGCTGGCGGCTGCTTTTCTATGTGGCAGCTTGCCTAGCTCCCTCCAATACCATAAGAGCTAGTCCTCTAAAGTCTAAACATGCACAGTTTTTGTAAAGGCACTCTTATCTCATAGGACAGACCCTTTGTGATATATCATAGTCAAGGTTATAAAATTGATCATTTAAAAATTTATTATTAGTGGGGGCCAAGGACATGGATGCTGCAGTACATGTGTGAAGGCAGGGAACAGCTTTGTGGAGTTGATTTTCTCCTTCCACCTTTGCTCGTCATCTGGGGATTGAACTCTGGTCATCAGGCTTGCCCAACAAGTATTTTACCTACCAAGCTATCGCTTGGGCCCTAAAATCTGTCATTTTTAACCTTCTGTTCAAGAACATTCTTGAGTGAATTGGACTGTTCTTACTAGTGGAAACTAATTAGCAAACTGTGTAGTTGGGTAGCGTGCCTGGACTGGTGCTGAACCACTGGCAGGTTCACCAGCCACAGCTACTGTGCTGCCAGTGCATGTCCCACAGTGGAAAATGGTTGTGGTATTGCAGGCCACCCATAAGGGTCTCGGGTCTCAGGACAGTGCATAGTACACTTGGAAAAGCACACTTGTGACGAATGAAAATGAGGGTTTCTACCTTCAGCTTTAAGAGGTTGTGGTGTGGTCTGTGGGAAGAAAAAAAAGGATTATCTACACATGTGGGGATAGGCTCCTCCTCCATCCCTACCACATGGGAAATTAAGATATAGCATATTTTCACCAGACTTTGGAACTGAGACATAGGAAACAGTCTCCTGAAAAGTAAAGAGCCTCCTGGTGGTGGTCTTTAATCCTAGCACTCAGGAGGCAGTGGCAGGCAGATCTCTGTGAGTTCAAGGCCAGCCTGGTTTACTGAGCAAGTTCCAAGGACAGGCTCCAAAAGCTACTCAGAGTAACCCTGTCTTGAGGGGGGAAAAAAGTGAGGTGAAAAGAAGAGCTAGCGACACTTGTTAGGAGTTTTAGGAAGCCATGTTCCCTAACCTGCCACAGTTATATGTTCCAGCATCTTCCGTGGTGTATGCACAGACAGCAGTAAGATATCATACAGGATAGAGCTGACACATCTGCCACAGGACAGTCAGTCGTTCCCCCTTCCCCATCACCCCCTTTGCTTGAAGTGACCATGAGAATTTAGTGAGTTTAATTCCTGCAAAACGGCTGGCATATAAAGCTGCACTGCTGTGGTAGTTGATGCCCCAGTGGTAGTCACAGTAACAGGGCTGCTGTCACCAGCTAAGTGACCAGCTCTAAGCCAAGTGAAGGTACATGTGAGACTGTGGGCAATGCTGAATCTGACGCCGAGTCCTGTTTTCGTTTTTGTTTTTTCTTTTTTAAGACTAAATCTTTGTTGTTGACTGTGTCCAGCCACTTCGTTTTAAAGCTATAAACATTTCTGTCTGAACGTAAATGCTAAGCTCATCTGCTCCCTGTTGGATTTTGAACAGTCTATCTGACATTTTCCCTTTCCTCTCTGTAGATCTGGTGTTGGTCCTGCCACAATGGAAGCGCCCTTTTGAAAATGTCAGCACTGCCCAAAGAGCAGGACGATGGTGCTCTGCAGATCCAGAAGAACTTCTTGGACGGGTCAGTACTCATTCCACACTTTGTTCTGGGTCCTTAGCTCCTGTTCTCTGAAAAGCAGGGAATAAGTACAGTTCTTACTACGTGTCCATTCTGCTTCCCTGCTGGTAGCTTTCTGTTGGAGGAATCTGAGAACAGCACTCACTGTAGTCACCTTACAGGAAACCAGTATAATCATTAGGAAGGCCAGCTGCTCTGCAGAGATTCACAGAAGTATCGGGCAGAGGGTGGGGGAGGGCATGATGGCTGTAACATTAGCAGCTGTCAAACAGAGGTCATGGGGTGTTACTATACTGTTCTGCTATTATATGGAGTAGAAGTTTCTCAAAATAGTCTATCTATCTATCTATCTGTCTGTCTATCTATCTAACTATCTATCATCTCTCTATCTACTACTTTTATGTGTATGGGTGTTTTGCCTGTGTGTATGTCTGCCCCATTCCCTGGGACTGGAATTATAGATAATTGTGAGCCTCTGTGGGCTGAACCCAGCTGTTCCAGAGGAGCAGCCAGTTCTCTTAACTACTGAGCCTTCTCTCCAGCTCCTCAAAAATAAATTTGATAAATTCAAAGTAGATAGCTTAAAACAACAAAAGGAATAGGTTATGTAATTAAATTGCTTTGACTTGACACGTCCTCCATTTCCCCATCTGCTGGCTCTCTAAATGAGGATTAAATGAGGTGATAGCTGCAGGGCCCTTAACACTGCAGCTTGTGGCTTGTGGCACATGCTCAGGACTAACATGCTATTCGAATTGATGTTTGCTCTTCTAACCTCATGTTACTTTTTTTTTTTCATGTTACTTTTTGACACCTAGAATTTACAAGACCATTCACAGGCCACCCTATGAAATTGTTAAAACCGAAGATTTATCAAGCAACTTCCTGTCCCTGCAGGAAATCCAGAATGCATACTGTAAATTTAAGCAGCTGTTTCTGATAGGTGAGAATCGCGAAATCTTTCTGTCCAATGGGAAGGCTAATGGCGGTGGGCAGGGACCCTCAGCCCAGGGTTATTGACAAGCAGTGTCAGGCTATAGGGAGAAGCCCAAGGCACCAACTATCTCTCTGGTACTGATCCTGCCCAGGTCCCCAGGCTCTCACCGGGGCCTCTGTGGCAATGGTCACATAACCATTTCCTTCCTCTCACCTTCCCCTGCATGCCACCTTTCATGGTGAACATCTTAGCTTCTCTCTAAGGTTTTGAACTGTGGAGTACCTGAAGCCAGTGACCTTCATTTATAATGTAGAATATTTGTTGGTTTTCTCTGGTTGACTTTTCTCCCAAACTGGGAATACTTTGATTTAGTCCTCGTTGGTCATGTACAGTTTCTTATAGTGCAAAACAATTTTGTTAATAAATGTAAAAACATTCCAGCCACTCCAGACCCCACCTCACCCCAGCCACATTTGTCTTCCCTCCCAGCCTATTAGTAACAACTGAAATCCTGACTGACTTAGTCATTCTTAGTAGCCTGTTGATTTTTTTTTTTCCAGTTTTGGTTTTTCAAGACAGCATTTCTATATGTATAGCCCTGGCTGCCTTGGAACTCGCTCTGTAGACCAGACTGGCCTAAAACTCAGAGATCTGTCTGCCTCTGCCTCCTAAGTGCTGAGATTAAAGGACCACCAGGCCCAGTTGAATTCTTCCCATTCTTTTTTTTTTTTTAAATATTTATTTAGTATACAATATTCTGTCTGTGTGTATGTCTGCAAGCCAGAAGAGGGTACCAGACCTCTTTACAGATGGTTGTGAGCCACCATGTGGTTGCCGGGAATTGAACTCAGGACCTTTGGAAGAGCAGGCAATGCTCTTAACCACTGAGCCATCTCTCCAGCCCGAATTCTTCCCATTCTTAAACCAGCCTGTCCTCTGGGTTTGACATGTTAGAGATGGCTTTTCCTAACTTTGACTCCTTAGCCTAGCACATTCTTTACTATTTTAGGGTTTGTTCAGCTGACATTGACTTTTCATTGCGTATACTGACTGCTGGTACTGTGATAAAGATAGCTGATAGAGAAAGCTGTTTTCCCTTGGGAAACAGAAACACCATGTACACCTCTAACCACAATGTGATAGACATTGTAAGGTACATTTGAAGTAGATGATTTTACTGTTTGACCCAGGACTGTGATTCTACAGTTGTGTTTTATTTCATGCAATTGGAACCCCTGAGTTGTACAGCCTGGGGTATCGTGGCTGTGCTGTAGCATCATGCTCTGGCAGGTGTGGCTGTGGACAATAACCTGAAGTCTCTCCCCCTTTTTTTCTGTTTACAGATAACAGTACAGAATTCTGGGACACAGATATAAAGTGGTTTTCTCTCTTAGAAAGCAGCAGCTGGCTTGATATAATCAGGTATTTTAACCCGTTGTTTTGTACAGTTTTCTAATTCTGAATTGTGGAGGAATTGACAGATCCCTAGTCTGTCACGGTTAATTATTCTGAGATCTTATGTTTAGTTCAGGGTTGGGTTGCACCCTTGTCCCTACCCCCAGGGTTTCTCTGTGTTGCCCTGGCTGTCCTGGAACTCAAGATCTGCCTGTCCCTTCCTCCCACTGGGTTGGACTGCATTTTATGATTTCTGTTTATAATTTCTTTGTACATTTGATAAGAATGTCCAGCACTCTCCCTGCTTACAAAGAAGTACAGTCTATAAGGAAGACAGTCTGAGACTACAGGAAAAACTGTGACCGTTCAAAACTAACGGAGATGGCAGTGCTGGCCTCCCAGTGGGAAGGACACTGACTTCTCACTGGATGTTATCCTGAACTTTATGTTTTTTTATTTCTTATTCTTAATGTCAATGCATCATTTTGGTTTAGAACTGAGTCTCAGAAGAGTTATATTGCATTTTCTAACTCACAGCTCCTCTCAGCTGCCATTAACTAAAGGACACAGCAGAGGCAGCTACAGAACAGATGTGGGCCAGGGACTACTCAGCCTGTGCTGCACCTGAGGAAAGGCAACTCTTCCCATCCAACCTGCGTGTTCTCTCTTATATTCATCAACCTTTTTTTTTTTTTAAAGATAGGGTCTCTTCATAGCCAGGCTAGTCTCAGCTCCCAAGTACTGGGATTTTCATATTGCTGCAATCACAGTGGCCATCATTTGTACTGCTGAATAATATTCCAACATGCACACGAATGCACACATAAATTTGTACTCAGTTTGTCAATGAGCTCTCATGTACTCATAAATTTATACTCTGTCAGTGAACTCTTAGGTTGCTTCTGTGTTTTGACTAGTGTGAGTGTTGGTGTAGTGTGTGTGGAGGTGTGGGTATCTAGGATCCTTCTTTTCCTTTAGTGTGTGTGTGTGCTCTTATATATCCATAATTTTTTATAGGTAGGTGAGTATCAGTAAGTAGTTATTATTTCCTTTTCTAGCCTTTTAGCATGAAGAAATACAAGAAAACTGAAAACAATTCACACTGCCTCTAAACTTGTCTATAGGACAAGCTCCAGAACTAAGGCTCCTGTTCTCATCTCTCTTCCATGTTTAGACGCTGCCTGAAGAAAGCAATAGAGATTACAGAATGCCTGGAAGCACAGAATATGAATGTTCTGCTCTTGGGTAAGAAAGCACATGGGTGACTTCGTTCACTGGGAGTCAACTTTTTTTTCCCTTGGTTTTTTGAGATAAGGTTCTCTGAGTAACAACTGTGGCTGTCCTGGAATGAGCTTTGTAGACCAGGCTGGCCTCAAACTCACAGAGATCCACCTGCATCTGCCTTCCAAGTGCTGGGCTGAGAGTCAACTTTTGTTTTGTAGCTATAACTTATGGCATCGATTTGTTTCTTCTCTCTCTTCATTTTTTTAGCTCCTAATTCTTTGCCTCAGATTTCACTGTTACAGTTTCAAACAAAATCTTTTCACTTGGACCTTGCAGACCCACTCACAGCCCAAGACAGAATTGTTTGGTGTCTTTACCCAGCAGTCTCTGGGATGCCCTTTGCACAGGAGACCTGCAGATGCATAGAGTTCTTGCCCGTGTGTGGACAGCTTTGTGCAGTTGCCATGGGAAGTGCAGTGTTGGACCGTGGCTTTCCTCTCCTCATTGGGGTATTTGCTGTGCTCTGGCATCACACAGTCTGTAAAAACCCCATCAGCCCCCTGCAGCAGAGCTGTTGTGAGTGCTTAGATAGGAGCTGAAGCGTTACCTGTTCTTTAGATCTTAGTTCAGTTTGTTTTTGGGGTGGGGGGGTGCGTCCTCACTGTGTTGCCCAGGCTGGCTTCAAATTCCTGGGCTTAAGTGAGCCTCACAAGAATCTGGAACTACAGATGTGTCGCCATCCTGGCCTGCTTTGTAGAGGACCTGAGGTTTCTAGCCTGATGCTCCATATTGAGTGGATCGTCTCCTGGATTCTGCCCCTGGTGTTCATCACATCCGTGATGCTTCTCTTATTGTAGCTCCTAAGAGCAAATTGGAAAAAAATGTTCCTTCTCATGACTTCTGGATCACCTGGTGCTAGCTCACCAGCTTAGTACTGAGTGCTCTTACTGAGCACCTTGTGTGAACAGAGCTCTATGCTTTTCCTTCTAGACGCTTACAAACAATGGGAGCATTACCTTAAAACTATTCATAAAGACACAAGAAAAATATTACTGGAATTCTGAATAGCTCGTAAAGAGGGATGAGATCTGAGAGGTGTGAGAGCCCAGAACAGATCCACCAACCACGGAGCTGTGCACTGTGAAGTCTGGTTCTGGTGGAAGTGAAATGTCCCACCCCTTTGGCGTCTTGACCTGTCTTCTGCAGTCTCGTGTTCTAGCCTCACTGCTGTCCCCTAGGGTGTAGCACCAGCACCTTCGGATGAAGAGGAAGATTGCCTTCCAGATGGGCTGTCCTGTCAGCATTAGAGGGCAGGTGCAGAGATGAGTTAGGTCTCCAGAACCTTCATTAAAGACAGAAGGGGCATGGTAGCATGGACTTGTAAGCCCAGCCCCGTGGGAGAGGAGACAGGACCACTGGCACTCAGTGGACAAGAAGGCAAGCCCACTCCTGAGCTGCAGGCCAGTATGTCCTCCAGGCTGACCTCCACATGCACACGCGCACTCACACACATCCATCCATCCACAAACCCTTGTATAGGTCGTTCTGTTTGTTGTGGAGGAGTGCAAGCCTGAGCTCTAGTGCATTGTGATATTCTAGGGCACAGGAAGAGAAGGTGCTTGCAGCATGAGTATAGCTCTAGTACATTGTAATATTCTAGGGCACAGGAAGAGAGGGTGCTTGCAGCATGAGTATAGTTCTAGTTCTCTAACCCTCAGGGTACGGCCTCCATTGCTGGAGAACATTTTTTAAAAAAGCATTTTGAGCCAGGCATGGTGGCGCATGCCTTTAATCCCAGCACTTGGGGTGGGGTGACAGAGGCAGGCAGATCTCTGAGTTTGAGACCAGCCTGGTCTACAAGAGCTAGTTCCAGGATAGGCTCCAAAGCTACAGAGAAACCCTGTCTCAAAAACAAACAAACAAACAAAAAAAAAGGCAATATGAATTGCACCTTTTTGAATGGTGTGGGGGATAAAGAGAAAGCCATGGGAAATGTAGACCTGACTTTAGCATCTTCATACTCTAAGAAGAATACATGACTGTGGCTGTTTGTTTGCCATTGCTCTAAATCAGAAGTGTTAGGTAAGTCTGTGAAAGGACTTGGGCTTTGTGGGTTTTATGAAGTGCACTCCAGGTGGTCACATGGAGGATTATCAAGAAGAATTCCTCCTGTAGGCTTGGCAAGGAGAAGCAGGCACCTCTGTGCTCCTCAGACAGAACAGAAAAGAGTCTTGTGACTGAACCAGTCATTTGATGCAAAGCAGCCCATGAAGGACAGGAAGTAGAAGAAAGGGTTCTGAGTCCGGAGCAGTGAGCAGTGACTCAGGCTTTCTCCCCAGGAAAGAAATGCAATGGACTTCATCTGCAGTCAGGCGGACCATCAATGTTGCTAGCTACTCCTTTATGGTACCTGTGGATGCCGTGTGCTAAAAGTGGAGTTTTCAGTGCTCCATTTGTTCAGTAAGCAGATCTCTGCTTAGCACACTACCATGTGCTGGAACTGTCCTAACAAGCCAGAAGCAGTTTATATCTCCCTGGTTGGCCCTTGTCTATAGGAAGTAAGATAGACCTTGGTGTGGGGAACCCTGCTCTTAGCTGTGTAGGTGAGAGCACTGCCTCTTGGTAACACCATGTCTTTCTCCTTGGTGCTCTTGCTGGGCCCTTCTAGAAGAGAACGCGTCTGACCTCTGCTGCCTCCTCTCCTCTCTGGTGCAAGTGATGATGGACCCCCACTGTCGAACCAGGACTGGGTTCCAGAGCCTCATCCAAAAGGAATGGGTTATGGGTTGCCACTCTTTCTTGGATCGCTGTAACCATCTCCACCAGAATGACAAAGAGGAGGTGAGTGCCCTCACTGCAGACTGTTGCAGTCCTAGGGAGAAGGGTTCCCTCTCATCTGGTCACTGTCCTCTCATAGAAGCTTCTCAAGTGCATACTTGACAGACATCAGCAAACTGGTCAGCTCATCGCAGATGCTTTGAATGCTGTAAACAATATGGAAATCCTCCCCAGGACAGAAAGGATATCAATAAGTGTGTTCAGAGTCTTCTAATTGTGTAGAGTAAGGCTGTATATACGTTTCATACTAAGAGAAATATGGTTTTGTAACACTTATTTACAAAATAACTCAGGAAGAAAAAAATCCTTCAAATCTTGGCTAAATTAAACTTTGTAGTTGGTGATGTTTGGTGTCTAAATTTGCCACAGGAAGTACGCTTAACACTAAATTTTCCTTGTGCTGGTGCCATCCATTGTTAGAGCCTTTGTAGTGCCAAGAGAAGTGTGCCCTGAGTCACAGCCTCTTCTGTTTCTTTTTGGGTATCATTGCTGTGTTGTTTGGGCAAGGGTGTTTGGTTATATTGCCAAATATTATATTGGTTGTCCTGGAACTCAACCTTCCATCTCATCATCCCAAGTAGCTGGGATTACATGCATGCACTACCACACCCAGCTTGCTTCTCTTTAGATGAATGGCTCAGTGTCTCAGATCTGGGAGTTGTTTTATGTTTTGATTTGATTTAATTTTAGGCAAGGGCTTGTGTATCCCAGGCTGGTCTCAACTCATTCTGCAGCCAAGGATGAACTTGAAGTTTAATCCTTCTGCTTCCACCTCCCAGGCACTGACATTATAGGCCTATAACACCACAACCAGTTTTGTGCAATGCTGGATGTGGACCCCAGGGTTTCAATGGTACTAGGCAAGTACAGAGCCACACCCCCAGTCTTAGTTAACATTTAGCTCATCTCTAGAGTGTGGTGTGCTTTTTTAGGCAACACCAATATAAACTCCTTGGTTCTCTCTGATAACTCGTGAAAGAAAAATGGAACCAACTTTATTTAATTAAATCATCTATAGAATGAACACATGCCAATAATGTGAATTGTGACTTTTCTTATTCTGGATCTCTAATCAGCATGTCTGTGATGCAGCATAGCTTGGCCCAGCATGCTGTGTGAATAGAAAGCCTGTGGCTTCTGCTCCTCGGGGCTTGACAGGTTCCTGGAGAGCCTCAGGCCTCTGTCACTATGCCTGCTAGTTCTTTCAGGCCAAACCTGTGCTCTTCTGTATGTTATCAAACTTAAGAGAAACCACCGTCTCTCAGTCTTGAAAGGGACTTGGAGGAAGTAGGTTGAAAGGCTAATGTGATTTCCATACTTTGATAAACAGAGAGGTCTTTGGAAAGATGTACTTTTGCATGTCTTGAGAAAGAAAGACTGACAGACTCCGTATCTAGTTAGGAAAGAAGTCAGTAGAAGGTGTTCACTCAGCACACATAATCCCAGGTTACTGTACAGTGAGGTTTTACATTTTGTTTAGCGATGTTGCCCATAATATGTGCTGTGAAGCCTCTCAGAACCAACATGCGGTTCTGGAGAGCTAGCTGGTGGGACTTAACGATGTTACTGATGTTGAGCTGGCCTTTTGTCCAATAGTTCTTACTGCTGTCCTACCAGCTCCATGTGAGGCCTGCGTCTCTACTCTTGTAGAAGGTGGACACTATCACATTGTTGCCTTACCCTGTTAGAGGACCACTGGTGGATCGAGAAGAAAGTTCCATGAAGTGGTAGCACAACAGAGAAACTGCCAGCAAAGACTTGCCCCTGAGTAGTCTCCAGAACCAACCTTGCCTGTTGTCACGGGGCAGAGATAAATACTCCCATTTTATTGACAAAGTGTAAAATGGCAGTCATCACTAAATCCTGTTTTTGCAGCAGAATACTGTGTAGAAGAATGGAATTCATTTGATTTGTGTTTAGTGTTCCCTATCACCAAAGCTGATTGCAGGCACTCATGTGTTAGTTCACATCCTTCTGTGGTTTTAGATACTTGTCTTTGACACAGTAGGAACTGCTAACCCACAGGGAGGTGGTCTCCCCTGAGAATGCTCATCGCTTGGAAAGGATTGTCTATTGTTTGTTTCCCAGAGGGGCAGGGCTCAGAAGCTCCTGATGACTGTTCAGTGAGCTCAGGACAGTTCATGCTGGGCCTAGGCTTCCTAAATGATGTATTTTGTTTCCACATAGGTCCCCGTGTTCCTGCTTTTCTTAGATTGTGTCTGGCAGCTGGTGCACCAGTACCCCCCAGCATTTGAGTTCACAGAGACTTTTCTGACTGTTTTGTCAGATAGCTTATATATACCTATTTTCAGCACCTTCTTCTTCAATTCGCCTCATCAAAAAGATACTAACATGGTAAGAGTCCCTTTTAGAGACCCCTGGGCCAAAGAAACTGCATCTTACAAACTCGATTCATAACAGTGGCTCTGATTCATAACAGTATTCAATACTGGTTATGCGCCAAACATTGCTTCAAGTGATTCCCAGCTATTCCTACCTGGGGACGGATTTAGTCCTTGCAGCACACTGTAGTTATATATTGTTATCCCTGAGGAAGCTGAAACGCAGTAATCATCTAGCCCAAGATCATATAGTAAATATTTAAGATTGGAGTTTGGGAATGGAGACAAATTAAAAGTTATTTTTTTTGAAGGTAGACCAGATGCCCTCTCTTTATTACCTTCAAGCCTAGAGTTATTCTGGGAAAAGAATGGACTCCAGGGTTTTGGTTTTACATCTGAAAGCCCTTTTGTCCCCACTCAGCTCAGCCTGTGCTCCAGGTGTAAAGTGTCTCTGTTAATCTCCATGCCTTCATCTAGCCCTCTCCTGCCTTGGGACGGACTTTTAGTTGGTAAATTGCCAAGTTCAACAGGGAAGCAGAAACAATGGAACCTGGCGTCTTAGTGACACAGCCCTGGGGTTCAGCCCTGTAGCTTGCCAGCTTCATACACTCAGACAGTTCACTTCTGTTTTCTGAGCCTCGGTTTCCTCAGGGTCAAGCTGGGAAAGTAGGGGTTAACTCACGCAGTTGTTGCGAAAGTGCCCAGTCTTGTAGCTGCCATAGACCACTAGACCACTGAAATAAGGGCCCTTCTCACCCCGCCACCAAGAGCTTCTGCCTTGAGAAACACAGCCTGTGTGCATTCATTCTCAGCCCCAGCCGAGCACTCTTCCTGGAGCCTGTTTCTGAGAATGTGTGTTTGCTTTCCAGCCATTCCTGGGAGCCATGGTGACCTGTGCTTGTTTTGGCAGGGTAGGAAAAGTGTGAATCCACAAAGCAAGCCTTTGACTCTGCTCACCGTGTGGGATTGGTCAGTACAGTTTGAACCCAAAGCACAGACATTGCTCAGAAACCCTCTCTATGTGGAAAAGCCAAAATTGGACAGGGGCCAGCGGAAAGGATCACGTTTCAAAGTAAGATGTGCTTGTTTTAACACCCCACCAACAGTGGCTCCTCCATCCTATGCATGCAAGGACAAGCACTACTTCATGGATCTCTCTGTTGGTGTGTTCCCTCTTAATACGGTGTGCAGTTGGGGTTTGTGATGCTCAAGTTTTTGGGGCTCATTAGCGGTGCCTTCAGCAAATCTGCCTTTGCGCTGATGAGACATGTCACTGAGGCTGCCGCCGCCACAGTTATGCTTCATGGAATTGTGCCTCTTACCCCGTCTCTGTATTGCTGGTAGAGTAAGGAATCATTGATTACTAAGGCTTTCCTCCACATATGCCAGTTTATATATTTCATAGCAAGACTTTTTCTTTCTTTTTAAGAAAATTTTTACTGTTTTATTTTATGAGTCTGTGTGTTTTATTTCATATATGTCTGTGAACTACATGTGTGCCTGGTGCCCACAGAGCCCCTGAAATTGGGTTTATAGTCAGTTATGAACCTCCATGTAGGTGCTAGGAATCAAACCTGGATCCACTGGAAGTCAGTGCTCTTAAACACTGAGCCATCTCTCCAACCCCAAGACTTTTCCTAATAAACCTATAAGCTGAGAGTGGCAAGCTTTGTATCGAGATCTACCCTGTCTCCCAGCTCTACCTGCTCTACTGTTGTGACAGAAAACAGTGGTCCTAAATGATAAGAGTGGGCCCAGTGTTTTACACAAGTGTCACCCCAGCATTGGCCCCTGGACTAGAGTTTTCCAGCCTGTACCCTAAACCACAAACAGCAAGTCTTTATTTTCCTTTTAGATACTTCTTCCTGATTTTACTATTCTACCCTGAAGTTCACTAACTGACACACAGTTTGAACAACATTACCTAGCTCTGTCACCTGGCCTGCAGTGTCTGACAGAGCCCTCGGTGATGGCAAACCCACGTCCAGGCATGTCGTTGTCTTTCTCGCCACTGTCCTTCCTATCCTGCCTGATCCGCAGTCCCTGGAAGCCTTGTCAATTCAGGCACGGAACAGGTTCTTAGTCTAAGGAAGCTGGGATCAGGTGAACCAAGACCAGCACTTGGGGATGGTGACAGCTGCGGAGCACTTAGCCCGCCTGCCATGTTGCCCTCTTAGTTGTCCTCAGGCCCTTTCCTGCAGCTGGAGCAAGATGGCTGCACGTCAGCCAGAGATGAGCTTTTCTTTGGTGTGCCATGCCCCCTGGTGGCAGCCTGCACTAGAGTCACAAAACTACCGGGTGCCTATGGGGTAAGGAGCCACTGAGACAGCTAAGCACCCCTTGTCTGATGTCCTCCCTGTCTCCTACTAGAGCCAGTGGCAGTTGATGTGAGCCAGGGGTGGGAGGATTGCAGGTTGTGTAAATGAAACAGGATTGGAGGTGAGCTACAAGGAATTTGAAAGCCTTCCTGTGAACACCAGGTGCCAGCTGGGATACCATGCTGAGAGGACACATGGGAGGGGGTGTGGGTAGAAGCTTCCAACACCAAGCAACACTTGGTGACATAGGTTCCCTTGTGGGTTTTTTTGTCCCACATTCCTGTCCAACTCAGCTTGGTAAGTATGGAGAAGAGAGTCCACTGATGTCTGGTGTCCTTGCTGTCTCTGGATGGAGAGTCAGATTCTAGTCATCTCTGGGTTGTGCTGTTAAGGGTAACTTTGCATGTGTGTATATTTTACTTATTATAAATTACTACTTATTTCCATAATCTGGAAATACTTTCTTTGTAAATTTTTTTTACAAGGATACACACTAGTAAAAAGCATGTTTGAAAACTGGAGTGTCAGCCTTAAGATAATACTTTTACTCTAGTTTCCCTTTGTTTATGTTAAGATCTCACATTGTTGGCTCAGGCTGACATGAAATTATGTAATCCAAGCTAGCCCTAAACTCCTGTCAGTCTCCTGTCTCAGCCTTCCGAGCACTGGATTGCAAGCATCACCTACTGCTTATGGCTCTCTGCTCCTACTGTGTATGAATGAACACCTTAGGAGCAGAGCAGTTGGCAAAAAACAGCGTCTCCTCACATTTATTTGTACCTTTTCCTGTGGGCATCGATGAAACCCACAACCTCTGACCTATCTTCATAACCCTCTCATGGTGTACCCCAAAATATAATGCCTTGCTTTGCTACTGAGAAAGCTAGCAAGCAGGAACGAAATGTGAAGCTCTCATGTTTCTTGTTGTGTGCAGCCTGTCAAGAATATCTGGCCAAGTTAACCCATTCCTCTTGGCCATTGCCTCTGCTCCCAATGCCTGTTGTCTGAAAGAGACCTGTGACTTCAGCTGGAGTTCTCACTGAGTGCCTGATAAGCTGAAAGGTTGTTTTGTCTGTGGGATAAGATCTCCAGGTGGTCAGTACTAATACCTGAAGATGTTCAGAATATTACTGCAGTAAAGAGTTCTTAAGTTCTCCAAAAAGAAACATTTCTTCCCCTTTAAATGATACACTAAGAGTGGTGGCACACACCTGTAATGCCAGTGATTGGAAGGGAGAAGCAGGAGGACCCCAGTGTTTCAGGCCAGCCTGGTTTACACAGTGGGTTCCAGGCTGTCCAGTGCTATGTAGCGAGAGACTCTGTCTCAAAAAGCCCCCAAGACTGATGGAAATCATTAACTGTGTTTCTCTAAAGTACTCTGTGTCCATTGGTACCCCTCTTGCTAAAAGGACTAGTTTGTCCCAGTATGCCTTTCTATGCATACTGGTTTCCTGGTTTCTTTCATTTGTTGATGGCACATCATGCGTATAGATCACTCAGTGTCATCAAGAACAGGAAGTCCCTCTCTGTGTGCTATACCATTTTAATGGACACACATGAGATGGCAGCTCTGACGTCCCTTGACACTGCTCACAGCAGGATGCTGCTGCTCTTTATTGTTGTTATTATTGTTATTGTTATTATTATTATTATTATAAAAACAGTTGTCACCTTGCCTCTTAACCAGATATTCTCTTTTGTGTTTTCTTTCAAAGCATCAACGACAACTTTCTTTGCCACTTACCCAGTCTAAGTCATCTCCCAAAAGAGGATTTTTCAGGGAAGAAACAGATCATTTAATCAAAAACCTTCTAGGCAAGAGAATTAGTAAGCTTATTAACTCCTCCGATGAGTTCCAGGACAACTCTCGAGAGTTTTATGACTACTGGCATAGTAAGCCCACAGACTACCATGGGTTGTTACTGCCTCACATCGAGGGGCCAGAAATCAAGGTGTGGGCCCAGCGCTACTTACGTTGGATTCCAGAAGCCCAAATCCTGGGTGGTGGCAGAATGGCTGCTATGAGCAAACTCTTGGAAATGATGGAGGAAGTGCAGAGCTTGCAGGAGAAAATCGACTCGAAGCCCCACAGACAGGAGGCTGTGCACACACAGGCACCGTGCCTGCTCAGGAACTCTGCCCGCTTGTCCTCCTTGTTCCCGTTTGCACTGCTCCAGCGACACTCATCCAAGCCTGTCTTACCCACCAGTGGGTGGAAAGCTCTGGGGGGTGAAGATGACCTGGCCAAACGAGAAGACGAGTTTGTGGACCTAGGGGATGTGTGACCTGTCTCCTCAGGGACTGTGAAAGAGGCACGCCAGAGGGACAGTTGTTCCCTGGACTGGTGTCGTGTTAGCCCACTGCTGTGTAGGAGAAAGCGGAGGCTTTCAGGAAGAGAACTGCTTCTCCTTTTCTTTCCCAGGTCTGAAAGATGATGCAATTAAAGCCGTGCCTCTAGTATTCATAGGAAGGAGTTCCTCTTTGACCTGTCATAGGATTGGGGTCGCTTCCTGACGCCTGTATAATATGTACACAAAACGCCTCACGGCCAGATTGCAGTGAGAGCTTCCTCCTTCTGTCTTTTCTGTGCCAAGATAATTACGTAGCCATTGGCAACAAGAGCAAGGTCAGCTTTATGTGGTGTCTGTAAATGGAGAGACCGAGGTATTAAGATACATGCTTTGACTTAAACCACAGCATATTCCAGCACACCCGTGGGCGCGCACACACACACACATGCACACACACACAGTAGAAAAGCTGGAAACTTCCACTGGTGTCATTCTAACATTCAGTCCCTCCTTCCCGGACTGTAACAAGGCGGGGTGGTGGCAGCCACCTTCCTTCTTCCTGCTCCATGTCATCTGCACTGGCCACCGTGGTGCAAATCATCCCAAGTGTCTTGCTGCTGACCTGTTGATTAAACTGGGGAATCCCTTTGTCTTCCCAGGGGAGTACCCATTCCTTGGAACCCCTCCATTGTGAGCATGCATTTTGCCTTCTACTTATGTATGGAGGCTCATGGCACCTGGACTGTGCCTCCCTGCAGCCCCTCAGCTGCTCCCCTTGCCGTCCCCATTGCTGTCATAGATGCTGGGGTAGGCAGGTCACTTTTGAATGTGGCTTTCACAGGAAAGCAATCTTAAGTGTCAGACGCAATTATCACGGGATGCCTCAGTGACTTAAAAAGCCATAGAAGAAACTCAGCTCTGCCTGGCCACCTTGGATCTGCTGTTTTAAAGATTTCTATTTTTTTTAGGGTTTGAAAGTCTACTTTGTAAGGATCAGTCCTGTCGCTCTCACGGAGCTAGGTCCAATCCCACAGAAGGCACGGAGTGTGGAGAGTGGGGGGGGGGGGGGGCAAGGGACCTCATCCGAGAATGTCTCAAGAGTTTGCCTTTCTACATTTGCTGTTCTGGAGCGATCCTGTTGAGGAAATCTTTCCATTGCTCACAGGCAATAAGGCATTTTGAAACTTCACAAAGAGTTCCTTCTGATTTGCACTGAATCATCTTCTGTACATAGTGATCATTTTTCCTCTTCTCCCCTCCACACTACTGCACAGGCCAGGTTGGTGTGTGGAGTCGGCATGATGAGGGGAGGTCAGGATTTATGTTTCTAGGACCAAATGCACTCAGTCTTGGTTGCCTTAAGAGTCTCTCAGGCCAGGTCCGTGCTTGGCCTGTGATAAGGAATTCTAAAACATGCAAGTCCTTAGCTCCCTTAGCTCGCATCTTCGAGTTTACTAAGCTATCGGTAACCGCCGCTTCCTCTCTGTCACTACTTCCCAAATACTCAGCAGAGAAAACTATTTTTTGTTACCATATTATAACGTGAATATTTCTATGGTAGCCTCTACAGTCTTAGTGATTTCCTTTCCAAAATGCCTCATGTGATGTTTCATGCCTCACAAGGTGTGGTTTAAGGCACAAGGTCATGACCCTTCTTATAGCAGTTGAATGTGCATTGAAATATTTTTCTATTTTTTTAAAAACCCCAATAGTAAATGTAAGCAAGCTGTTGTAACCTATGTGGTCATGACAGTTTATGTATTTATATTTGAAACCAGATTTCTATAACTTGTATTTGTGTATAGAACTTTCCATGGGTTTATATATTGTTAATTTTTATCCAAGACTGAGATGTGGATTGTGCTTAACATTAAAAGGTAAAATAAGACCATTTGTTTAAAATGCACTGTGCAAGTTTGGAAGTGTATATTAATAACTTACTGTATATAATACCTGGCGTTTGTTTATACCTCCAAGTTTTTACACTGAAGATAAGCTAGCTTTAATTAAATTCGAAAATGTTAAGGGGATGAGCTATTAGGCTGAGTCAGTATAAACGCGCAGTTTATTTTCTGGTGTTAATGAAAGTTTATACTCATGTCTCACAGCCCTGTAGCTGACTGCAGAGATTAAACACAGCTTAGAAGCAGCACTGGATTGATGTGCATGCTCTGACTCCCGCTTTGTCCTTCTCGTTCATTCAGGGCATGATAAGCCTGCCCTGGGTTCTGGCAGGTGCTTCAACACACAGCTCTGGGAAGCTCAAAGCTGTTCTTGTGGACCGCCCCTGTGTATGCGTACACCCAGGTGTGGTTGGCAGGTGATGGATACCAGTATCCAAACAAATACTTACAATTCCTGATGATGATCATATGCTGGAAGATGGGTGGTGAGCTGGCCAGCAGGTAATCCTTATGACCCTGGGTTAATCCCTGGGACCCAAAAGGTAAAAGAAAAAAAAACTGACCCCCATAGGCACCTGCTTCTCTGTGCTTCCCACACAAAATAAATAAGGGTAATTTCTGGTGCTATGAAGAAAAAGTAAATAGGGTTAGAAGCCCTCCAGGGTGAGTAAAAGACAGGACTCTTTTGTGTCCTTGAAATGAGCTGCCGTTGCACCTTTGCTCTGTGGGGATCTGTGTTGTTACTCCCCCCCCCCCAGACAGGGTTTCCTGCAGCTTTGGTGCCTGTCCTGTAACTAGCTCTTATAGACCAGACTGGCCTCGAACTCACAGAGATCTGCTTGTTTCTACCTCCCGAGTGCTGGGATAAAAAGCGTAAAGCCACCACCACTGGGCGAGGATAGGGGCTTATATCATTCAGGTTGGAATTATGTTGCTTGTTTTGTTCTGAGAAGTTCTGTCTCTCTGGCTCCCCATGCCTTTACTTGTCCACACCCTGAAACACCCTTCCCAGTCTGGCTGGTCTCCTCTCCTGTAACCAAAACCCAGCCTTGAGGCGCCCCACGAATCCAATAGGCTCTTGTTGCTGCCACATTACTCTCAGACTTAATTTTGTGATGACTGATTTATTTATTTTTATATCATGTGCATGAGTGTTTGCCTGTACGTATGTTGTGTGTGTACCACTTGTGTACCTGTTACCTGAAGAGGTCAAAAGAGGTCATTGATCCCCGAAACTGGAGTCACGGATGTGAAACTAAGCTGGGTCCTCTGCAAGAGCAGCAAGTGTCCTTAACCACTGCGCATCTCCCCAGCATTTCTCTCCCAGCCCCTTCCCCGACTTCTTGCTTAGATATTTTTATTATATTCCTTTTTAAAAAAATTATTTGTATTTTATGTACATTGGTGTTTTGCCTGCATCTATGTCTGTGTGAGAGTTTTGAATCTCTGGAACAGGAATTATAGACAGTTGTGAGCTGCCTTGTGGGTGCTGGGAATTGAATCCAGGTCCTCTGAGAGAGCAGTCAATGCTCTTAACCGCTGAGCCATCTCTCCACCCCCTGTATTGTATTCCTAACTTTTTAAGACCCTGGAGAGTCACAGCTTCCTTTATTTCCCCATCTCTTGGTCTTAGGCAATCTGAGGTTTCTCACTCAATTTTTGTACAAATAATAAAACCCGGAGACAGATACTGGAGTGCAAGCTGAATGATCAGAGAAGCAAAGCATCCAACCACTAGAGAGCTCTTACCTCTATGAGATCCTCTGACTGAAAAGAGCGAGATCCTCTTTCCCTTAATCCTCAGGCTGAATGCTCTGAGCTCCTGTCTCCTCCCGCCAGGGTGACCCCGAACTCACAGAGACCCATCTGCCTCTGTCTCCCGAGCGCTGGAATTAAAGGTGTGTGCCACCACTGCTTAGCCTCTGTGGCTAACTAGTGTGGCTAGCCCTGCACTCTGATCTTCAGGCAAGCTATATTTGTTAGCTCACAAACAAAATATCACCACACTCAATTTTGCTTCTTGTTTTTAGCCAAGGGTATGGTGGGGGCACTTAATGAAGGAATAAAATGGAGCATTTCCTTCTGTCCAGTAAGAAACAAGTTCCTTTTAAGAACGAGCCCAGTGCTTCACTGTCCTTTCATGGGACAGACTATAGAAATAACCCAACTAAAGCCCATTTCTGAGCTCTGGCTGTAGTGGCTCTCCAGGGCTGTGGTCATGTACCCACTGCAGCTCACATTTACAACGCCATGCTTGGGGTGGGATGAATTGGAGCTAAGCATCTGGAGAATGCTTGCTTGTGCACACACACACACGCGCACACGCACCCTGCTGTAGGCTCTGCAGTGCTGTGTGATCTCACACGACTTTACGCTTCTGTTCTCTGTAATCTTGACTGTCAACTTGATTCACCTAGGAGCCAAACTTGAGGTCTCGTCTGAGGTTCAACTGAGATAGGAGGGCCCACCCTGGATGTGGGCAACACTGATCCATGGGCTGCTGGAATTGAGGCCACACAAAAAGAGAAAGCCAACTAAGCGCCAGCCGTCTCCCTGCTTTCACAGACTGCAGACACAAGTGACCCACCACCTGACTCTTGCTGCCGTGAAAAATGCAGCCTCATACTCTCTCCCTCCCTCCCTCCCCCCCCTTTCTCTTAATTTGTAACAGCAACAAAGAAGCCAATTGATAGATGTATCAAAAATCTCCCACTGTGCATAACCCATGCACCACCCTGAAAAGTATTAGGATAGGCAAAGGAGGGGGTGATTCTAGCTTGTCAGGAAACTGTCGTAGTGCTTACATGTGAGACTGACGGCCTGACCAGCATGGGCAATGCAGCCAATGCCATTTATATAGTCAAGAGGAAAGTATCTTGTTCAGTTGATGGTTTTATGTCTTTAACAACAGGCTTTGGTAGCCTACTTTGTGGCTTAGGCCTAGTCTTTTGTCTTTTATACTGTCTTTTGTAATCAAAGGGCATGAAGATTGTTAAAGTGGCTTTTTGGCCACTTATTTAAAAAAAAAAAAACAACTTTATAGTCTTATACAGCAAACCTATAAAGTACTTATAAAGTACCCCACCCAGCATGCATAAGGCTCAGATTCAGCTTCCAGGAAGTGAAAATTAAAAAAAAAAATTAAAGGGGACAGATTGATAAGTAACTCTGGACGGCTGGATGATCGTGAGTGTGATGTCTGTAGTTACTGTGTGGTGGTACTAACGTTAAGTTGGGGTAATAGATCTGTAGAAGACAAATAGCAACAGTG